TGATGAAACTTGGTACACATGTCTTCTAAATCTTCTAAATCGCTAAAGCTATAATAAACCAATTCACTCAACTTTGGACAAATATTTTCAGCTATCCTAAAGACAGTGTGAAAATGGGTGAAATCGGGTGATAACTCCGCTCACTCCCCATATCACTGTTTTGATTAAAACTACTAAAAGTGGGATAACTCATTAAATAAACCAGTTGAATTTTACACATAGGCAATTAAGCTTTATCATTAGGGGAAAACCCCAATACTTCCCTTTCATGTGATTGGTGATGGTATGTTAGGTACCTTAATGAAACCCTGGGAGCATTTCATTAGTCTGTGGCATGTTATTAATATGTGGTATATCCAAAAATCGATCAAATCGGGTCAATCCTAAACCCAACTCCTACATATAACTTATAATGATTTTCATTATTCTAACAAGTTTTATGGCGAATATGTCAGTCAGTGAGTATTATTTATATATAAAATTGCTTCAAATTATGTTCTTAACTATACCCGAGCAATGCAAAAATTAATGCAATATACCCCGTAAAATTATATTTGTTGTTGTTGTTGTAGCGGCAGAATTCCGCGGAGTTGACAGTCCTTGGCCGGAAAAAATCCGGGTCGGTTCCGGTTACGTAGACCCGACTGTTATGGGAACGGAAAAATTATTTTCGTATTTACACCTGTCTTTTAACCGTTCAGGTTGGTCAAAATGTGTGATATTTCAGCGAAATTAAGTCGACAAGTTTTCTTAAAAACTACGTGGTTTAGCGCTGAATTAATATATTGGAATTGGTCTAAGCCTCATATCACTAATATAATCAGTTCCGATCCTCTGGTCGACGTTTTCCACATTTAATATATCTTCAGTCGAGTTAATATCACATACATATATCTTATTTGAAGGTGTTTTTAATGTAATTTTAGATGACGCGAACTAAAATATAGCAATAAAACTAAGTCTATATTAGTCAAGAAGATACCAAATTTGATTCACGATTTTATCAAATAATGGATGTTTAATTCTTTCGCAACATTTTTTTAATATAAAGTTTTGGCAGCACCTGAAGGAATTTCCCGGGCTTTGACTCTTGCAAGTTGCAAATGTTCGGTTACACCCGAACTTAGCCTTTTCTTATTTGTTTTATTATTTATTTCCTCCAAAGCCGTGGAAAAATTAATTCGTTTTATCATTGAGTGGAAATAAATGGTCGATCCTGTTTTGGTTGGAACGTGTCGCTTTTATACTGTCTAAATATTTTACAGTTTTCTGTGAGAGTCAAATTTATTTATCATAACTCTAATTTGTCCATCACTTCTATGTATGTATATAATTTTTATACTCTTCCAACATGTTACTAGTATAAAAGTTTTGTTCACCTTACGGTTTTTTGTACGTATCACCTAAAAATGAGTATAGATAGAGTTTATGTATATATATGTATAACTTCAGTAAAAATTTAGATATGAAACTTTGTACACGTGGCGAAAAAGAAAAGACGAGTTCGTAGATGGGCGTAATCAGACTACTGTCACGACCACCAAACGCCAATAATCGAAAACCTATAAAGTGCCATAAGTAAGCACTTAAATAACAAGGGACATAAGTGGGCTAAAAATTTAATGTACATCTCCTAAACCACTAAAGCTACGATAACCCAATTCCCTTGAGACAATTTCTTTAAGTACCCCTACTGACATTGAGAAAATGGATGAAATCGGGTTATAACCCTTCCTCCTCCTTACAGTTTTATTAAAAACTAATGTTGCTGGCAACATACAAGGCAATTGGCCGGCCGGTCTTAATTATGCTGCTCCAATATGATCGTCTGGATGTAGTGCAACGCAGACGAAGAAAACTGCACTCCGGACTATCACGGGATGCCTCTTGATGTTCCCAATAGAACACCTGCATAGTGAGGCTCGTATGCTTCCGGTTAAGCTCCTCTCCAAGCAGTTTCTGCTGGGATGTTTTCGTAGAAATCACCTCTGCAGTCGTCTGCTTGAAGAGGAACCGCCTCCTAGGAACATCAAGAGGTCCTTCCTTGATTACGTCGACGACATTAGACAGTACGCCGACCAGACTTCGGACGCAACGAACTTTAGACAAGCACTGACCGCCATTCACAGTGGAACCATTAACACCTTCACCGACTCCCTCTCAGTGAATGGTGTACTAAGAGTCAAACCACCACTCATAGCAGACGTAGAGCTTGAGTTACCTCGTGAGTTGCCAGAGTGACCCTCGCGCAACTTCGTTCTGGATATTGTAGCAGGTTAAACTCCTACTTATCCAGAATAGGGTTCTACTCGACGGATTTCAACCAAATTCAGTAAGTAATCGGCCGAAAACTTGCCTTAAAACCCATTTTACTGATATTCCATATATATGTTTATATTTATATACTTATAAAATTGCTTGAAAATAAGTTCTTAAGTATACTTGAGCAATGTCAAAAATTAATGCAGTCAACTCTTCAATTTGTCTGCCTACAATGATTTTTGTATAATACCATAACATAAATTTGATCCTTTAGATTTATTAAAAACGAAGTAAGCTAACAACTTCATAAAAAACAAGTGATCTAAAGTGAGTTTTATTTTGAGCAAAAAAAAAGAGTATTTATGATTTATTTTAAAATTAATCATTATCGGTGAAGAAAATCGTAAAATTCAATGTAAAATCATTATTACGTGATTTAAAAAAAAAAATTTTAAATTACGGTTTTGGGTCTTAGCACCTTTGAACTCTAATTATGTATATACAAATTTGTTTATTTACTTTATAAAAAAAAAATATATATATTATATATAAAAAAAACTTTTATAATTAAACCGCCAAAATCTCGATGATAACAAGCGTGTTGGTAAAGCCAGACAGTGTTATCTCAAAATATTACACTTAAATGTTAATGATTGCAAAAATTTCCGCCTACATGTGTACATTCACTATACCAACAACACATAGACAAAAAAAATTATTGATTATTAGAAGAAATAATAAATTAAGACCCATAAAATAAAAATACATGATTTTTATCACCTTATAAATTAAAGTAATAACATTCAATGAACATTGTATTCGTATTCATGCAATTTGTTCGTATCTTCTATATTAACAAGTGTTCATCTTTAACGCATTAAACCATAAAAAGCTGTTGTTATGTATAACTTAAAAATTTCAAATGTACTGAAAATTTTAAAAGAAGAAATTAACGCATTTGTGTATATTTTTATTATACAAATAGGAGCTAAACTAAATGAAATAAGCCACAAACATTTGAAACTTGGACAATAATATTATTGAAAGAATTTAATACATATAAGCATGTACTATTACACACCAATTTTACGAAATTCTTAAAACGACATTCAAATACGTAACAATAATGAAAACATTTCATCATACTCATATATCTATGTTCACACTAAGAACTCGTTAATTAATACTTATTCCGTTGCTCATTTGAAATTCTTTTTGCAGTACATAATAGGTTTTAGAATAAAATTGTGTAATATCGCTTTAGCTCTATACCATTTGTGAAGATTTAATATTATCTAACGCAGGAAATCCTTTTTTATTTCATACAATATTTTTTAACTTTGTTTGGTTATAAGTCATACTTCTTTTTACAGCTAATAAATACACTTACCATAACTGGTGTCACATCCACGGATTCCCATTCGATTGGCACATTGGCTGTGGTGAAAATCTTCTGCACAGCGGCGGAGATTTCAGGACCAATGCCATCACCAGGAATTAAAGTGACTTTTCTGGAACCAGATGCAAAGCCGCGAGCTGATGTGGGGGCAGTGCTAACCTGAAATTGTAAAATAATCACAATTTGATTAATATTATATTTTAAAAGCTATATTGTACTTGATAAATATTTGTTAGTAAATATTTACATGCCAAATTAAGCATGCTGTTTCATAGTAAACAAATGTCTAATTTCGTTATTATCAATTAAACTTGTCCGCACACTATTATAAATATCTATTTGCATACGCGCATTTGTTACATAAGTTCCCCTATTCAATGTGTCGTATTTTTCCTTGCCTATATGCCTATCGCCTCTCTGTGTCCACCTCATTACAACGTTCACAGAGCTGGTTGGTGGAGCCGATTTGCTTCGGTGCAATACTATAACGTATAGTGCAAGGGGGTGAGGGCTCATGGCGGCCAGCCTCGGTAACGTATCACAAACTTCTAGTAGAGGTTATACAATTTGCCAATTGTGTTGGGATGAGCAAAAAAAAAATGGACCAATTGTTTCAAAATAACTATAAAATTATTTAAGCGTGATTAAATAGCAAAAAGATAAAAAGAAAGATTACCCAATCGCAAACTGTTATAAAACACATTTAAAACGCAAATATATTTCGGCAAATTTTGAACTGGATTTGCTGTTATGTAAAAATCTGACAGCGTCGATCTGAATCGATTTAGCGAATCGTTATTTTAAAAGCACTATATTCCTAAAGACGCACCTTGACGTGTACCGTTGAATCAGTCAAGCGCTCCTGTCCAAAACGAGATGTGTTAATTCCAATACTTTTTAACTAAAATATAGCGCGAAAAATAGGTAGGCAAAAGGGAATTTAGCAAAGAACATTTAAAAATTGTTAGAAGGATAAAGCAAAAATTAAAGATTTGTAACGCTAGCACGTCCACTCACAATTTTTTGAATTAATCTTGCAGCCATTTCTTCAATGTTTCACTCAGATTTAGATTTAATTTCAGATATTCGTAATTTAAGAACCAAACCACCAACAGCACGGCACAGAACAGCACAACCACAAAACTGGCAAATCCCTAATTCTTGCTTCCCCAGAAATTCGTCGGAAAACTGGCAAAAAACTTCAAACCAATATTGGCTGCTTTTACAAACTGTCATTCTTGTTTATTTTTTTATCAATTTCTACTCAAATCACGTGCAAAATAATTCACAATAGCTTTTACAACTTGTTATTCACAATAGCGTGTTGATCAATTTTATTGCATTTCAAGTTGGGATATATACATACATAGCTGGTCCCATTTTTCCACAAAAGTACCGCATTACGAAGGTTATTAATGATTTGAAAATTTTAAAGTACTTACATAGGAAATAGATTTTCTGTAGAAAATACTTTGAAGTAATTGTTGAAATGAAACTAAAATATGAGAGTATAATAAATATAAGAAAATACCATAAAATTTTGTTCTATTAACTGTTAAGTTATAAAGTTACTTTAAATTTTTCAGAGCGCCCTACCAAAAATATGCCATTACCAGAATAGTGCTCTTTCGAAGTGTATCCGAATGAATTCTGATCTCGTATTTCTCACAACATTTCCAGCTACCTTTTGGGTAATTTAAAATTTCTAAAGAGCAAATAACTTGTTCCGTTATCTCTTGTGCATAGTTTGGTTAGTAGCAGTGATGAAAAGTATGCACAATTATGAATTTTACCACCAATCTAACTGTAATCTACTCTTTACGCACAATCAACTACTTTTTGGCACTATTTGATGAAAGATGAAAATATGTACATACATAGGCTATGTGCCAAACGGTAGAAAAATTAAAATTCTGATAGGTAAAAGCGATATATTGAAGTTCTTCGTGGTGAGAAAAGGTAAAATTTTGACAATTTATATATATAAATAGAGATATGCATTCATAAAATATGTTATTAATTCGTAATTATTGATTTGTTAATGTTTATTTATTCCATTCAATACAGAAATGGTGCTCTTGATAAGGAAAGATCTTGACTCTTTCTGAATATTTTGTATTTATCCGAAATATTGCAAACATAAATTAAGGTGAAAGAGTTAAGTAAAAACAATGTTAAAATAATATTTTTATAATTGGTTTAAAGATCTTAATGTAAATGTATTTGTGAAAATAAAATATATAAGCACCTTACATATGTGTTTCGCATGCAAGTAGCGTCGTAGTAGCCTAGCACGTTGCCTAAAATTCTCAACTAATAACAAATCTTTAAATTAATGAATTTTTTCTAGTTCCATTAATATTGTTATTAGCAAGCAATATATTTGATTTTCATTTAACTAATTTTACGAACATATTTAATAATTCAAATAATAAGAGAAACATTCAAACGACGCAATTGCGCTTGTTTGAACTTCAACGTCAAAACATTACTTTTCATTTGGCACAGCAAAATGTAAAATTTGTTTACACCATAAGAAATTTTTTCACCCCAACTCAACACATGGAAAGTTGTTACCGTTGTTGTTGTTGGCACACAGCCTGTATGTCAAAAATTTCTCTTATGTAGTCTTATGGCACAAACAGTCACCAACGCAAAACCGTGAACCGAATCAGCTGATACGACCTATCTTATGAGAGCGCAATGCAAATGAACAGTCACCTCTGCTTCTACTGTACGGTGGGATATCGGTGAAAATTGTATTTTCCCGTAGAAACGGGTGAGCTGAGAGTGAGAGAGCAATCTCTTGCAACGCAGGGTTGCCAGTCTCGATATTTTGTAGTAATTAAAAAATTAACTTGAATATATTTGAAATATTCCTAAAATAACTCAAAATCACAGTCCAATACATTTATTTATAAATAGCTAAACTATTTTAAATAGTTGGATTTTAGTTTTGAGATTTTACATTATGAAAAATTATAACTAAAAAACTAAATGTGTGAGAAATCGTGTTTACAAATAGAACAATGACAATATTGGTAAAATGAAAACAAAAGAGAACAACTGATTTCTGCGTTGCAACTACGGGCATAACTTTTGACAAATTTGGTTTGATACGGGCGGTAAGTAAGGAAGGGTGGAATTTCGGTGACTGTTTGGGCACTAAGAAATCAGAATCGTGATGTTGTGTTAAAAGCTCCAAGAGAAATAATCTTAATATTTTTGACTCCAAGAGTAGTTCGTGTTTTACTGCAGCAGAAGAGAATGTTATGATTTGGCATATGGACGCTATGGACAGTTAAAAAGTTCATTGTGAGGAGGAGTAATATGAAAGAGCTTCAGAAGAAGCAGAAAAGGAAACAGCCGAAGAAACTGATGTACCGGTCGGTATTGAAAGCAGTGCAAACGGAAAACGAGGAAGGTTTAGCCGAAATTTCTTTGTATTGGCAAACAGTTCCATATGGTAAATATAGCGAATAGCGATATCAAGATGCCGGGCTCTATAAAAGAAGTAATGTCAAGGAAAAATTGTAAACGCTACCGAAAGGTGACGAACAAAGAGCCCGATTCTCTTATTAGAAATCAAACATGGGGACTTGCTGATTTGCCAAATGAAAACATTGAGCGATACAAAGCGAGGTTAATCGCTAAGGAATGTAGCCAGCAGTATGACGTTGACTACCAAGAAACATTTTCACCTGTTGTACGTTATGCTACTATACGAATGCTATTTGCATTGGCATCTGAAAAGGAGCTACATATGCATCAACTGGATGTATTAAAGCCGTATCTCATCAACTCAAAATATCCATACTACAATTAAAGAAAGCTATGGTTTGAAGCCGTCTGGCAGTGTTAGAATGAACCATGCCTTTATAAGAAGAATGTTTATAAAAAAAATACAACTTCATTACTTTTTACGTTGACGACATTATTGTAGCTTATTCAAGCGAGACAGACCTATTAGCGATAAAGAGACACATTTTTGAGAGCTTCAATATTGTAGAAAAAGGCAGAGTTCAACATTTCCTTGGAAAGGACATTGAGCGAATTGGCAGCATAGGTGATATATCTGTTGGTCCCTCTCAATACGTTCAAAATTTGTTAAAGAAGTATGGCATGGATCAATGTCACGGAGCGTATACTTTACTAGATCCTGTAAATGTGGCGGTGGCGGTCAAAGAGGCAGTATATTTGAGAAAGTTGTTAAATGAAGTGAATTGCTACAAGGGCGAAGGTTTACAATGAATGATGATAATTTGAGTTCGCAACATTTCGCGCAGAATTCAGTTTTCCACAATCGCATATCTATGTAAAGCAAAACAAGTAAAATTAATTGACTTGCTTGGAATTAAACATTAATTGTTTGATTTTGAAGAGAAAATCATTGTAGTTGACTACTAGTGTTGAAAATCTAGCAATCACGGATAGCACGTATTTATTATTTCCCTTACTACAACAACGTGTTTTAGTTACATACCAATTCGAACTTTGTAACAAAAATCTGGAATTAATGTTCAGTTTTTAATAAACCAGAGATAAAGAGAAGCCCAACTCATCTCTCACTGGAAATGTGAGCGCTTTGACAGTTGCGGTTTCAAATGAATTCGTTCCCAAATTTGAATTCTGTTATTTATTTTTTGTATGTAATATGCAAATATGTATGCATAGAATAATAGAAATACTTTGAAAAATTGTAAATAAGGGCAAAATATAGATATAGATTATGGAGTTAAGAAATTATGAATTTTTAATACTTAAAGATTAGGAAATTCCTGTTATAAATTTGGCCTTGAAAATATTAGTAGCGGATATTCAATACATTCTGGTGGATTAGGGAATTCCCGTCTTAAGTATTTCTTTGAAACTATTAAGCGGGTAGGTATTATGCATATTGTTCTACCATATTCATGGTAATTCATTGCAAGCAAAATGTGTGACCAACATCTCAACATACAAATGAAGTGCAGTCGAACCGCACAAGTATTTACGAAAATTTTGTGAAAAGGAATGCTCGAGTTACCTAACAAAAATTGGAGAACAATGAATATGAAAGAAAACGCGAAATTGAAATGTATGTAATAAAATTTTTTCTCTGATCTCTGATCCCTGTAATAAACTGTCGAAGGGATCGGACACGAGAATTTTATTTTTTCCGGCTAACTGCGTTAGGGTAAGCATTTTCAACATCACAGAAAACGTTTTGCTCACATTTAACGCATAATTTGTCAATTGCTCAAAAAAAGGATCGTGTCGATTGGACGAGAGAAATGTTAAAAAAATACGATAGCGTTGCTCCGAAACACGTCCATGACATTGTGTTAGGTAATCAATCGTGGATTTCTGCGTATGAGCCCGAAAGTAAACGGTAGTCGACTGTATTGGTGTTTCCAGATAAGCCGAATCCAACAAAAGTTGTTCGCGCGGAGCACTTCCAAACAAATGGTTGCCTGTTTTTTTTTTTTTTTGGAAAACTGGACATGTCGCCACTATCACTAGAACAACCCAGAACAGAAAATTCTGAGTGGTACACAACCATTTGTTTGCCAGTTGTCTTTCAAGAAAACAGGCAAACCAACCGCCGAATCACCACGACAACGTGAGATTTCACACATCGACTAAAACAACTGCATTTTTGAGCACTCAAAACATCGATTTGTTGAGCCATCCGCCGTATAGTTCTGACTTGGCACCGAATGAATTTTTTTTATTCCCGCACGTAAAAAATAAAGTAAGAGGTCAACGTTTTTCGACACCTGCAGAGGCGGTTGATGCGTTCAGAACGCATGTTTTAGATATACCTCAATCAGAGTGGTAAAAGTACTTCGACAGTTGGTTCAAATGCAAGCAAAAGTGTACAGATCTTAATGGAGAATAGTTTTAAATACAATAAAGCGATTTTCGTTGATTAAAATTTGTTGTTGTTCTCTTATCCCGTAATATAAATAGCAACGCTCATACGCACGTATAACATTGTGTAGAATGCAAATGACTTTGGAATATTACAATATTTCAATCGCTTTCAATAAAATTTAGCAGATCATTCTGCTGTCATTATCGCCCTATAAAAACAATAGTTATAATTTGAAGCATTCTGTAATTCACTTCCGAGTGAATTTTATGCAAATCTACTTTCAATCCAGTGTTCTATATTTCACTTTCACTATTTAATTTCCACATTTCTTTTTTCAAAATGAACTTCGAGGTGGATAGTTGGATTTTAGTTTTGAGCTTTTACATTATGAAAAATTATAACTAAAAAACTAAATGAGTGAAAAATCGTGTATACAAATAGAACAATGGCAACATTGGTGAAATGAAAACAACTCATTTATGTTGCAAGCGAAGTAAATGTTCGGTTTTACCCAAACTTAGCGCTTCATTACCTGTTGATCATTGTTATGGCTGAATGATTTTATGGAGAAAAATTGATGCAACTAATTATACTACTCCACAAATCTGAAGGAAAAATTTGCGACAGTTGTGCTAAGTGGTCTGTCGGGGTATGAGGTGTCCTGATTACGAATTTCAGTTCAAAAATTTTCTATCACGTACAGGTGGTGGTTTGACCCCTACACCCCTTGACTACAACACAAAAAAATCTCGACAAATACTCGACATTACTGTTAGCTTCAAATGTTTTCTTCCTTCAAGAATTCGTCGTTTTAACTTTCGTTTATATGTTAGAAATCTTAGTAACTGAGCGGCCACACGTACCAGTAACTGTTCGAAAATCTCATATAAATATTTTTACCACACAGTCCTAATGTTCGGACTGGCAATACTACTGTAAAGTAAATTTCCATGGTTAAATTATATAAGGTTGTGTCAGTCGCCAAAAACAAAAACAATTTGTCAAAAGTGTTTTAACTCATAATGTCAAATTCGGCTATTTTGTTTTTATGTTCCAAAAATATATTTTTAAAACATTCCATCCAATAAAATGTGTTTTTTAAGTGATAACTGAATTCGAAGAGAATAGAGGTTAGTATTGCAGATGGGCGTAATTCGAAGATTGCCACGCACACAAAATACCACTAAACGAAAACTAATAAAGTGCTATAACCAAGCAATATGATATAAAATTGCTATTTGGTACAACGATTCGCACTAGGCGGGGGTATTCGCGGTTTGAAAAATTTTGAAAAAGTTAACGTGCCCTGTCTATTAAAATACATATCCCCCAATCCGTTACTAACAGTGCTCACTAAATAAATGTGTAAAAAACATGGGGAAGTTGATGAAATTACCACTAAAGTCTTAAAAATAATAAGTAAATTTATTAGTAAACCATTGGAATTTATCTTTAATAACTGCATGACTATAGGAATATGGCCAAATGGATTAAAATGTGAAGAAACCCTACCAATCCATAAATCAGTAGACAAATATAAAACTAATAACTATCGTCCAATATCCTTAATTTCTAATATAGCAAAAGTTTTTGAAAAAATTATTCATACTTGTAAACGAATTTATAACTACATAACAGACTCAAAAATTATTGCGAAAAACCAATATGGCTTCTTAAAAAATAAAGGCACTAAGGATGCAATTGAAGCAATTACCAGTTTTATATACACTAATATTGATAAAAATAATTTAACAGTGATAGCTTTCCTGGATTTAGCAAAAGCTTTTGATACAGTAGATCATGCTTTATTGCTGGATAAATTATATAAATATGGAATCAGAGAAATCGCAGTTGATTTAATTCGTGACTACCTTAAAAACAGATATTAAGTGTGTAAAAGCAAATCATGTAAAGTTCAAATAGGGGTGCCGCAAGGTACAATCTTGGAACCACTGCTTTTTCTTCCATATGTAAATGATATCTTTAAGGAACTACCTGAAAACTGTTTGGCAGCTTATGCAGATGATACAATAGTTAAATGTATAGGTAAATCTTGGGCGGAAGCTGAATCACAAATGAAAGTGCAGTTCAGTTTAATAGGGAATTGGATGTGTAATAATTACTTAACTCTAAATGTTGGAAAAACTAACTACAAGTATATAACTTTCGGTTCATATAAAGACAGTATTCCCGAAAGTTTTGAGTTAAAAATTTATGATACGACCATAAAACTGATAATAGTAAATACTTAGGTATATATTTTAATAGTCACATTAGATGGGATATTCATATCAAAGAAGTCATAAAAAAAACTAGGTATTTTCTATTTATATTCTTAAAGTTTAAAAATATAATGAACAAGAAAGCACTTAAAACAATTTATTACGCATTATTCGATAGTATAGTCAACTATGGAATTATTGCCTGGGGAGGTAGTTATAAGAATGTTACAAAATTGTTAATAAAAATACAAGATAAATTAATTAATCATTTATGTTATAAAAGCGAGAGAACAGCCGTACTGGGTATTAAAAAGAAATTTATTTCTGAGTCACTATGTTATCATTATTCCGATTGTAGAGAGGTATTTAATGAATATAAAGGTAAGACTAGAGCTAAACCGTTACAGTTAACAAAGATTAATAAAAATATATCTTACAAAGACTCGAAATATATAGCAATTAAATACTACAATATGTTACCGCTGAGTCTAAAGTTGTTAAATAAAATAACTGAGTGGATTGTTGACACTGATATTTAAAAATACTATGTTTTCTTTTGTTTTTCAATTATAAATGACATTTGTTATTAATAGATTAGTACTTAATTATAATTACCAGGCCTATGTACAGTTGTTTTGTAACACCTCTATAGGTGTATACTTTGTATGTAATATGTACTTTGTATCCTGGGATAAATAAATAAATAAATAAATTAAATTCAATTCTTGCCTACACCTGAAGGTATGTGACTTTACGAAAGTATTAAATGGTTACACCCGAACTTATCATTTTCTTACTTGCTTTATATTATTTAGTTTGAACTGCCAAAGCCATTCATATTACGTTACAGCAACATTACAGTTGGATATATGAATTCAAAAACAAGAAAAAACGTTAACTTCGGTTGCACCGAAGCTATAAAATCCTTCACAGATACAAAGGTTCCTTACAATAACTTTATTTAGATCTAATTTCGTGAATTGGCAATAAAAAATAAAATTTTTGTATGGCAGCTATATGCTATAGTCATCCGATCAAAACAATTTCTTCGAGAATTACATTGTTACCTTAGAAAATAACTCATGCCAAATTTCGTGAAGATATTACGTCAAATAAAAAAGTTTCCCATACAAGGACTTGCTTCCGATTGTTCAGTTTGACATTTCTAAATCAACTCAGCTCATCATGCTGATCATTTATATATATATTTTATATTTTATTCTCCGACGTTTCCTTCTGGGTGTTACAAACTTCGTAGCAAACTTAATTACCATTAATTTAATCAAACTATTTTAATACCCAATATGAAAAATCTTTAGTAACTAATTTGTAAATTTCGGAGGGAAAGTACAAAACAGTAAATTTGACAAATTTTCGAACTTTTTCTCTCGCGCTTGCGGCTAGTGAGCTTTTTTTCCACGCATGTAGCGGCATGAGAGATTAAACGAACCGCGCGCTCGAAAATCGGATGTTGAACATTAAAAGTTTATTGCGGACGGAGTTTTTAACAGTCTATTCTCCAATTTATATAGCCGTGACTGAAGACCCTGATGTACATTTTTCATAAAAAAAAAAACTGAATATAAATAGTTTCAAATTAAAAAAAAAGATTTCTTTACATTCAACATACAAATATCTCATTGGAAAGCAGAGAAAAAGTCGTAAACGTCGGCTAGTTTCTTTTATAATGTAATACTTTTCTTAGTATACGCAAATGATTAAAGGTAGTTTTTTCGAGCGCTGAAATTTTAAAAACTCATTCTCTTCTCGCTTTGGTATGCATGTTCATATGTAAACATTTTTGTCTAAAATAAACAAAATATTAAAAATATATTATATGATGTAGTGAATCGTAAACACCAAAAAACTCAATTTCAAATTGTTTGATTATACGTTATTTTGCATTTTAGGTGACGATATTTTTGTAGATCTTTACAGTATTTGTTGCGAATTTCCAGGAATACCATTGGAGCCTTATGCCACAAGTTCTTTAAGCGATTTATAATGCTTTTCAAAAGCAATTTATGAAGGTAATTTTAATATTTAACTATAGATCTATGAATAAAGAGACACATTTTATTAGTTCATCAAGTTTTTTTATTAACATAAAAAGTGTATTGAAAATAAGTGAAGAATACAGTGTATACATAATAATTGCAATATATACTAAATATGTAAATTATATATTAAAACGTGTAATTAAGTCTTGTATTTCAGTCATTAGTGGATAGGTTGCTTCCTCACACCAAATGCTGTAAACTCAATCTCTTTACTCTCGTTGATATTCATTAGTTTATCAAGTATAGGGTTTTTCAAAAGGGATGCTATGATTTCTAAGTGTTGTTTCGGCCATTTTTAATGTCATATGTTGCCACTTTCGAAAAAACTCGATTGGGTATTTTTAAAATATGTTTTGGACAATTTGCAATTTCCACACTACCATATTTGGGATATGCAATTAGCGCGTTACCGATATAATTTTTGGGTGCTCGGTTCCAAAGTAGGCCTATATCACCCATATACTATGTACATAAAATCATATATACATACTAAAAATAAGTCGTAGTACCATATAAACATAAAAACTATAACAAAAACAAAACTATTTATTAAAAATATTTATCACATTTGTATAAAGTATAAAAAAATAAAAAAATATATAAATAAATAATAAAAATAAACTATATACACAAACAAACAAAACATTTCACAAACAATATCACATTTTTTTGGGAAACGTATTAAATACAAATATTTCCCATTTATAAAAAAAAATAACTAAACAAAATTAAATATTACTAAAATACTTTAAAGCTATAGTTTAGTATAATATTTACATATATAGATAATAATAATAGAATAATAATAAAGAAGAAATAGGATACAAGAAATAGTCTCGAAAATATTATATCCATATATTATATTAATTTTGAAGCTATTTTGTCCCCAAAACCTACATATATGAAACACATAATATTTTTGCCCTAAAATGAGGAGTACTTAGGTCTCTATTGGAAAACTTACGTGAAAAAAAATATTCATATCTTAATATATAAGGCTAGGATAGCGTTACTGTTGCTATTATCGCAACATTTATATGGGCTGACATCCATCATTTTATCAAACAATAATTGCCCTACACCTATTCTGTGACAAGTGAAATCAAACTCCCTAACAAAAAATGCTTCTAGTTCTTTCAAATAATTTACAAATCCCTTTGGCGGCTTAATAAAATTGCCTTTTCCACTTGCCCTTCCTGCGTAAAGAGATATTCTAATGAAATTTCGTTTCCTAAGTAGGGTAAGGGTTGGGAGCAAGTGTGTGTTTTAAATATTTTTAAATAGTATAAGTAGCCGCTAAAATATGCAAATGCATTTTTTTTTTAAATCTACCTCAGTATCATGAACCTTATAATTACTTTCTAACTAACACGCTAGTGTTGAACGAATGTTCAGGTCGTGGAAGTCCTTGAAACTCTTGCCACGATAAGTCGTACGTTACCCACACTTTCTATTATTTGATACGAAATATTAGGAGAAAAAGTTTCGTTATTGTTCATCGGTTCGCAGTTTCCGTTCGTTACTGAGCATCATAAGAATCGCCACAATCGTTTCAAACTATTTATGTTCAGGATCCAACCCTTAAGGTGGTTGAAAGATGAAGTAATATTAGCCCCGGTTTCATCGCTAACCCTAATTGTCTTTAAAAGTTTTACAGCCTCATCTAATAACTGAATTTGTTCGAGCGCTGTCGAAAAAACTTTATTGCTAGGCAAAATAGGTTTAAAATTGCTACTATTAAAAATGTCAAACAATTTATTAATAAATAAAACAGATTCCGCCGTATTGCAAAAACTAGGCGAAGTACAAGTTAAACAACGGGAACTATGATTGGATAACATTCCGGAAGCAGCTGGGTCACTGAAGACTTATCCTGCAAGTTTGACACTCATTTTTTGAATATTATTAGAAGAAATATGTGCATCTAAAAGTTTCGGTGCACAGCGAATACGATTTTGTGAATATTTTTAATAAAAGTACATTATATCGCACCAACTTATCGGGCAAGACTTGAAACTTACTTTATTTTTAGAATTTTCGAGACAATTTCTTGTATTTTTCAAAAGGTGGGGACATTTATTAAAAAAATACCTCTTTGGCATTTACTTCAAAGTATGGGTGTTCTTCTGAAACACCCAAGACTCTAGCTAAATTGAGAAAATTAGATCCCTGATCACAAAAAAAAAAATAGCATGGATTTATACCTATGTTTTGTAACTGGGAATTGGCTTCAAAAATTTTTTTTTTGGTTACATCCCCTTTATTAAATTTAAATTTGTTTGAATTCCTATATGTCTGTAATGCATTCGATCAAATAACCCTATTTCTTCCTGGGCTTCTTTTGCCACAGATGCTAATAACATTAAAATGTTGGAAATATCGGGTAATTCTGCTACAACTGGTAAAAAATCTTCATAACCCAATTCAATAATTGACTAATATCATTTCCCTCTTCAAAACTGGGTTCGGAGACATTTGACAAATGTTTGTCCGGAACCGAATTTTTTTTAATGGCCTTTCCAACTTCATGTGAAAGAAGAAGTGCTGATCGCACGCAAACAAATATTTATTTTAAATGTGTTGTTCGCTCTCACATCCCACTACGCATTTTCTTATTTTCGGCATTTTTCTTTAAAATATAAAACACTGCATTAGAATATATCACAAATATCACTATTATTATTTATTGAACGCAAATAATTTATTTCAATTCACTTTTATCATCATAACAATACGTACCGACTTGTTCTCTTAAATTCTGTTTCACACTGAATTCTGTCAGTAATTTATAACGGTATTACTTCTGGAATCCCGCCTTTTTTGATATCAGCTGTTTAAAATTCCCTAATTTCCATAATCAGGGAAAGAGAATGGAGAAAAATCAGGGAAAATGAGGGAGTCTCGCATCATGTCCTCCTTGGTAATGTTTACAATTTTATCATACTCAAGAACAAAGTTTACAAATTATTCAATTTTATTATCAAAATTCGTTCTCCAATTGTATCTTTTCGATTCTGGTGCATAGAAAATCCTCAAATTATTCGTGAACAACCATTACGTTCACCAAAATTGACAGTTTGGTGTGGTTTTTGATCTGGTAGCATCATCGGTTCGTACTGCCAATGGAGAGCGGTATAGATCGATGACACCAACTTTTTATCACCGCAATTCGAAGAAGTTGATCTTGACAACATCTGGTTCCAACAAGACGGGGCTACGTGCCACACAGCACGTGCAACAACCGAATTATTGCGAGAAAAGTTTCGAGATTCGATAATTTCAAGAAATTGTGACATTGAATGGCCTCTAAGAAGTTGTGATTTAACCCAATTCGACTCTTTCTTGGGGGGTTATTTTAAATCATTGGTCTTAAGCAATAAACCAGACTCTCTTCAACATTCAACGTACATTCAAAGACGATGTACTGCTTGTACTTAATTGGCTGTGAACCTCTTCCAGATATTCCTCAAACCTATTTGTAATAATTGCATTCGTCTGTGATTTGGAGTTAGTTTAAGAATATTTCAAATATATTCAAGTTTATTTGTAATTACTACAAACTATCGAGACTGGCAACCCTGTGTCGTATCAGCTAATTCGGCCTACGGTTTTCCGTCTGAAACATGAGACGGACGTTCTACTTTTTTTACAATTTTAAGGTCTTTTTTTTAGCTTTTTCCATTCGCACTTGTGGATTCACCCTGTCGTTTAATTTTTGTGGATGTTGGCTGTAAAGGAATCGCTCATGGTTGGTAAAGGAAGCAAAGTTGGAGTTTTTTTTTTTAGGTGATGCCGCATTCCGCCTAGATATACATATGAAGTCTCAATTGAACGTTGAAATTGACCGCACGTCAAGAAATTTTTAATTACCGCGTACCGCACAAGGATGGTCGTAAAGTGTACGTTTGGAAGATTAGAAGAAAAGATTTAATACATTTAATCGTCCAATAGACAATCAACAGTCGAATCTATTGCCTTAGCTTGCGTTGTGTTTTACACAATTTCTTAACAAAGTTGAAGGCTACTTTAATATCTGCAGATTTTGAAGCTGTAGAATCACCATTAACCTTTGATTCTAATCGACCACAACACAAGAATATAATTATAAGAATTTCGTAATTCACTATTAGTTGAGAAATTCAAATTTAAACAGACATTTGATATGCACTGGCAGTTCGAAACGTATAAGTGTATTAGTAGAAATATGTGAATGTATTGAGATTTTCGAACTGTTGCTGGCCCAGTAAAGCAAAATGTTATTTGTTATTTTCAACAAAGGCAAAAGCACCATTTAAATTGAGTTTTGCTGCTGACGGAGTCATATTATATTTTAATATTACCAAGTAGTCCATTCTTTTCATAATTTCTTTGATGAAAGCAATAAGTTCAGCCTCTACAATGCATTATAGTATTATTTAAATTTTTATCTTTCAGCACTCGGATCTCCATGCACCATTCAAATAAACTAATTTTGAACTCATCGGTATTGTAAACGCTTCGCAATATTTCTCTTCGAAAAGTGTGGATTGTTTCGTGATGTTCACACTCTAAAATTAGGTGAAACCATGAAGTTCCGGACAATTTGAGAGTGAACTTTTGCAATTGGATATTTTGGGTGTCCTTGATACTCCGAGCAACTTTACTTTTAGCCTGATGCTTACAAATTACTTAGGACCTTCCACTACCATCAAGTCTTCCAACTTCAGCAGTATTTTTGAAATCAACAATAATGTACAGTGGCCAAAATAAAAAAGCTTGTACAGAGAGATGTTTTGACTTTGAAGAGACTTTTTTCTTGAACTATTTCAACTTTTAAACTGCAACCAAAAGTAACAATATTAGAATAGTATTTGATGTTAACGATTCCAAAAAATTTAGATATCTCACTTTTGAGCAGCCAAAAAAACGTGTATGTTACACATACGTTGGTAACACTTTAAATGCAGTTATGAAGTAGGTACCGTTTTTTGTCTGGTATTATTTGAGATTCACATATTGTTTCTCTTGGTTGCAGCTTAAAAGTTGAAATAGTTTAAGAGAAAATTCACTTAAAAGTTAAAACAGCTCTTTGTACAAGTTTTTTGTTCACTGTGTATACCATATATTAAAATACATAACTCCATAGATTAGTTTTAAGTGGTACAAACAACCGTCAACAAAACTATTTTACTCTGTGGCAACTTGGTGCATGTTCGTATTAACTAATGTATTATATATTGTCGGAGACTCACTTAGTTTCATAATTACATATTGTTTCGTGTCCGAAATATCTTTAAAATCAACCTAATTACCTCAATTGAGTTTTATGTGATATAAACTCAACCAAACTAAACTTAATATATTGGTTATACGAGAAAAAAAGCCATCTAAATAGTCGGAAGTCATTATATAAGGGATATGAGGTTTAGACCAATTCATTCATCTTCAACGCTAAACCAAGTTATCGTTAAGGAATCCACTTAACTCATTAAAATATCACAACTTTTCACCAACATAAATGGTCAAAGGCATTATTTAAGTGTACACGTGAACATGTTCCCAAGAAACTTTATGAAGATAACTCACACACCGACCGACATATTCGGCACAAAGTCTGCTAGAATAACGGAAATAATTCTACATATTGCAGTATATGGGAGTTGAGATGATTCGTCGGCCAATCGCATACAATTCGGAATTAAGCTGTAGTATTTCTAATACTATACGTTCATTAAATTTTCCTATTGACCATACGTTATAAATTCAATGGAAAGTTTGAAATTTGTATATTAAGTACATCGGGGCTGAGTTTATTACTGGCCCGGCTTTGTTAATTTTATGTAGAAAAGACAATGTTATTAGGGCGAGAGACGCTTTCTTAGTTTATTTAAGATATCTCACATATTGACGGGTATACGAGTACACACTATAATGTCAACCGGAAGTTCGAAACTCTTTCTATTAGGTATTGGGGGTTAGGAAAGTTAAGATACCTCACATATTGATCGATGCACTACTAACCTATCATGGGTGGAAAGGAACACGTGTATCAAGTTTCAGCAAGATATCTTAATTTTTACTCAAGTTATCGCTTGAATGGACGGGTGGACTGTTCGTCCGTCAGTCACTCGGAATTCAACACGTTTTGTCATCCTGACCATTTACATACGAAAATAGCTCTTTATCTTACTCGACTAGTTTTGGTGTAAGAAACATACGTTAAGTGAGCATAATTTGTATACTCTGTAGCAACATGTTGCGAGAGAGACATTAACTACTAATTATACAATCTTACAGTGATTAAAATTATGGCTTAATATGTTCCTAATAATTAATTGATCTCACCACATTCATATATTCAAAATCTTCGACAACGCAATTAGTTTTATATATGTACTTATATATTACATATTCTTCTGCAAAAAAATGTTTATCAAAAACGAAAAAATATTTTACTTTATGAATTGCTTCCATTGTTGATTATGGAACTTTAGTATTTGAAGTTAAATTTGAATTGATTATATTTAGAACAGCACGCCGTAACAGCACAAACATTGGAATCTTATAATAAATCTTAGAGAAATAATGATGTCCGACTATCCGACACATACATATGTATTTTAAGTACATAGGATTATGATGATAAAATACATTTCAATTGATTTATAGCCATCTAATCGATGGCGTGAAAGAAAGAAGTAAATTTACATATATGTATAAATAATAAGATAAATACAAATATAAATATTCCATATATATGTATATATTAGGGTGAGTCAGAAATGATGAATATTTTTGTCGCTAGGTACTCTGAAAAATAGGCTCTTATATACATTTAATAGAATCTATCAAAGTACGAGCTCTTAATTGCAACGGAGAGATCCGCCGCAATTTCTGTAGAGCAGTAAATTTTCAGAAACTTTTTTTTCCGTTGAGTTATAAAATTCATAGGGAGATAGCTTAGAGTCCGCTATTTTAAACCATTCGCTACTGTTGTTAATTACAATGAAAATACTTGTATATACTCGGAATGACATTACATAATCTTCGCTTGAAAATTATTCAGAGTAATTTCAATTCAATTATGCAACGCTACACGTTTGGTAATCAAGAAGATTACGGGAAATATTATTTTAGCAACCATTTTGACTGGAAAGTTTAATGGCCAGGTTTCCCAATGATGCGATGAATGATGATCAGAATGTACGATAGAAATAGAGTTGAATTAAATTGAATTTGAAAATGTTTATATTTGAAAACTATATATATTATAGTTAAAAATTAAAAATGATCTAGCCTCTAACTACTTTGAAGATTATTTATTTGTTTCAAACTTAAATATAAGTAAATATAATGTAATAAAAAAATCAACATATTTTATTTTATGTTTATTTGTGTTTAATAACGAATTTGAAGAAAATTAGTATAAATACTCTTTAAATTTGGAGGGGATCCGCGAGGTTATTCTTTCACCGGAAATAAAGTTTTTGTTTTATTCATAAATACATGTTTGCTGTTTTAATTTATTATTATTGTATACCTTAGCCACAGCAACGCGTGGACGGGGTCCTCTAATATATATAATATTTATATATCTTCGAGGCTATTGGTCCTTATGGTACATCTTTATTAGATGTTTGACTTGATCCGAATTTTTAAAGGTTAGTTATATTCCCTGGGAAACTAAACTACATACCTGGGAGAGTCGCAGTGCCAGTCAGTATACTCGCACTAACATATACAAATCAATAATCGACGACACAACTTTTTTACACTTTTGCAACATGTTGTTATGTTACTGCATTTGTGTTTGAACTCACCCTCACAAAGACTATAAAACGAGCTCACCCAATCCAATGGAGCCCGACAAACATACATATGTATAAGATAAGAAAAATGTTCAGGATGCACAGTGACTTTCCTCAGCTATTTAGATACTGAAAAGTGATAATACATTTAATACACAATTATATGAATACTTTCTTTTGCATAGTTTATAGAAACAAATTTTCTCACTGAAAACTCTAAAAGTAATACAAAACAAGGAAGGAAGGGCTAACTTCAGATGTAACCGAACATTTTATACTCTCGCAATATTCAAAGATCAAAGCCGGGGAAACACTTTCACGTGTTGCAAAACTTTATATTAAGAAATATCGGATTACCATTAAATTTGGCATCTTATTAACTATTTCAATACTACATTTTGGTTCGTGTCCGAATTATTTATGGTAAAATCAATCTAATTACGTCAAATGAGTTGTATGTGATATAAACTTAACCAAAGAGGCTGTCTCTAGTATACTCGAGAACATGTTTCCAAGCGATTTTATGAAGATAACTCACACACTGACCAACATACTCGGC